AGTTGCCGTCACCAACTTCGTTGGTGAGGTGGCGTCGAAATGTCTCGATGTGGTTGGCATTGTTGAATTTCGTTTCTTGCATGATAAGGCACGAGGGAGGGGATTTGAGTCGTTTAGCGACGAGGTGGCCGTTCCGATGGAGGCCATTGAGATTGCATGTGGTGATGGTGAAAGTGGGGTTTGGGGCGAGGAGGTCGCGTGGGAGCACCTTAGCAGCGGCGTGGTGTCCCGGCTGATCCGCTGGCGGCATGCAGAGTCTTCTCAGAGTCAGAGTTGAGCACCAGAGGCTGTGCAGAGTCAGTGCGCAGCGCATCCACGGATAGAGAGACGTCGTCAGTCAGCAGTCGGGCAGATTCGCGGTCGACACGCACACAAGACAGAGCAGCTAGATCCACTTTACCCGAGTCGTGCAGCTCCAGTAGGGTATCCAGCACGCGCAGCATGTCGTCGTCATCAGCATAGAGGGTTTCAATGATTCGCCACAACTCGGAGCCCAATTGCGTCGTCATGAGGACAGCTGCAAGCGTGTTCGACGAGAGGCCTCGTGGTCCACGGTTCATTGCGATGGTGTCGACGCAACGTCCGGTTGAGAGAAGCAAAGCCGCATCGGAAGTGTAGAACAGTGGGCTATGAGCAGCAAGTAACACTTCCGCCAGGGTGAGCACCAACTCTAGTTCGAGGCGTGTGAGAGAGACCTCATCACCAGTGACAGTCTCAGTGGATATGGAATCAAGGCCATCAGCGAGTTTTAGCTCGCCAAACACATGCACCATCGAAGCGTGGGTCATTGTCGTGCCAAACGTTTTGGTGTACAGATGGTCGAATGATGCAGAGCCGCCCCACGTCGCACGGAGCCATCGGTGAAGCAGGCGCTGGCGGACGAAAAACTCGAAGGTGGGACGGTCGGTGGAGAAGAGTTGGTGCAGTTGAATACCAAACTCAACAGGGTTCCGGCCGAGATGTCCACAGAGTGTGTCGACACGACCAGCGGTTATAAGCCCTGCTAGGTCAAACGTGCCCCGGCAAGATACGTCGTCGATCCGCATGCGTTGATGAAGAAGGGCATCCGTTGACTGCGTCGAAAGCTCAGCGAGCTCGGCGAGGACGTCGTCAATGGCGACCTCGACGCGCGTAGGCTGCCCCTGGACAATCTTTGCGCAGGCAGCGTATTCATCGGAGGTGCCATGGTGACTGTCGCTGGTGTGCGGAAACAATTCAGGAACAAGCGTTGCAAAGGCAGAATCACCGTGGCTGGACTCGTTGATGGTGTAGCCGATCGCCCAGCGCTCCTCCAGCGCCGCGAAAGCATTGGGGGACACCCACGGCCGACCGGTGGTTTCACGATTGTGCAAATGTTGAGTGGACGCAGGTATCGTACGACGAGCTTCGGTCCAGCCGTCAACGTCACGTGGCTTTGTTTTTTGACGCTTTGAAGGTTGTGGAGTTTGACGTTGCTCGTGTGGACTAGCTCGACTGGGTGAAGCAGTAGGTTGGGGGGTACTGACAAGGGTAGCGTCTAAATCCAAGCGGACAAGACGCCGGTCTCGAAAGAACCAGCCGCGACCATACACGCGGATGCAGCGACCTCGGAAAATAAATTCCTCCACCATGCGTCCATTGATGAGCATGGTCGCTGGAGCGTCGTTGCCAAGAAAGTGAAGTCGGTAACGAGATCCAGAAAGCCCGGTGGCTGCCGACAAGCTGGTGTACCTCCCTAGGAGGAATCGGGGCTCCAGGTGACGCAACATGTCGAACAGAGCATGCTCTTCACTTTTGCCATGAAGGCCTCCGGGAATGTCCACATAGAAACCGTCCAAAGCATGAGGTTGCTTCAAGGGAAAGGTGACAAAGCTCGTGCTCTTGCCCTTCGCTCCGTCGGCCATGACGCGCAGCCTCAACGACACGCCATTGAGACGTTGCATAGCAGTTTCGCTCGCAATCCCCCAACGCAAAACGCGGTTCGGTAGGTCCCTTTCACACTTGATGATGTCGAGTAAATCATCGGTTTTGACAGTTGAATGGTTGTCGTGGAGCAAGGAAGCCATGGCGGCCTCCTCGCTGATGCCCTTGGTATGTTGACCCGTGTGCATTTGTAGCCATCCCACGATCTCACGCATGTCGTGATGTTGAACAGGTAGCGTGTCGGCAAACGTCAGAGTGCCCGCAGCATGCTTTGCCAACAGCGGCGCAAGGTCCGACATGGATGGCAGATGGGTTCCGATGTCCTTGGCACGTGGGGCCTGTGAAGCCGCAGCACGCTGCGCAGCGAACGTCGCCCAAGGATCTGCACGGGGTGGTGGAGTGGATACGTTGGCACGATTCGTCGCATCAATTGGCGAACGGATTCCATCTCTGGACGTCGCTTCGGGTGGGGGGACGGGCGAGGCGACACGAGAGCGTTCCGTCGAGCCGTCAAGAAGGTCCGGAGACGGGTCTTGGGAAGGCTC